ATATTTTTTTCAGCAATGTAACACATATTGCATTTAAAAAAGACAATACGTATACTTTTACGGTCACAACAATGTAAAAACCGTTATTAGTATCGGACCCCTTCAATGACAGTATAGGAACTGTTACTTATCAAATATATGTTCATTACTTATTTATTTGCCGTAGTAATTGACAGCAACGCCATTGTAAGAACGGAAACAGAAATTAAATCTGCTAATTACAACAATAACTGTTGTAATATAAAACTTAATTTGCCTTATAACAACAATGGTAGACCAGTTAGATACCACTTATCAGGGTTGTTGACTTTAAAAAACATGGAGTTAATGTGTTTATTAAAGTTATTCATTGTTTTAATGCAATTCTTGAAACAGATTTAAAAACAAATCATTTTCAGATTTTCGACTTTGAATTATTTTTTTCTTGTAGTGTTCTAAGAAATCAATGGTTTCATTGGTTATTTGTAAAAAGAACGCCTTTAAAATATGAGAAATATTTTACATAACCAAATCATTTCGTTTGAAGACAGTATTTTCCTTGAATAAAACCACAAGTGAATTATCTCTTCATGAAGTTATTTATTATAGCATTAATTATAAATTACCAGATGACCACAATATGTGAGGTTTTTCTATCAAATGAAATGAATATATTATTTCAATCTTGACTACAAGAAAACATATCATAATCTGCTTTTAAGCTATGTAAATATGCATATTTAAAAAAAAACGTGATGGGATGTTATATTAAATAAAATATTAGTGAATAAGAACAACAAAAAAGATAAGGAGTTACTAGTACAATCTTCATGTCAGCAATTACCAGTGAATAGCGTTTGTATGCATAATTTTTAAAGCTAATGCCTAGGAACTTGTTTTATAGATCCCAGCACTGATGAAATCAGTTTTAATAATTGCGTAACAATCTCTGAACGTAACAACGTAGTTAATACATTTTTTTTCCATATTTCAAGAGTAAGAACATTAATAGTTGTAAATGCATTATCTATTTTCAAAACACAATCTTATCGTCTCTTATTATTTTTGCATTTGACCCAAATTATTGTTTCATCTTCTGAATCTCTATAATATGCGTATAATTGTACGATGCAAAGATAAGCATTTTACAAATTAAAAATAACTATCACACTAATTGAATTTATCATGATACTTGTAATTTTTTTTGTAGACTAGTTTTTAGAATTTATTTTATAATTATAAGTATTTAATTTTACAAAAAAGGTGTCCTTTATAAAAAGTTCTGTTTGTTGAAAAAATGGTATTAAACTTCTCAAACTTGAGATAGCATACACAGGGAGGCCAAAAATTAAAAAAAATCAAATTTGACAAGGGAGAAACCGGAAAACAAAGTCTCATTCTCGTTCTACGCTTGATTTTTCATTTTTGGCCAGCTTGTATATGCTATCTCAAATGTGAAAAATTTAATACCATTTTTTTCAAAAAGAAGAACTTTCTATAAAGAATATCTTTTTTTCGTTAAATTGATAATAAAAAAGTTACCTATTTGTGGAGAATCTAAATGGACAAAAAATAGGACGTTACGAATCGAAATTTAGACTTAATTTTTAATTCCAAGTAACATTTTCTCATTACATTTTTCTTGAAAATAGAAATTTATTGTACTTCTCCCTTGTCAAATTTGATTTTTTTTTAATTTTTGGCCAACCTGTGTAGCATATACAGGGTGGCCATCTCAAGTTTGAAAAGTTTGATACCATTTTTTCAAAATGCAGAACTTTTTATAAATAATACCTTTTTTTTCTTAAAATCGATAATAAAAAGTTATCCATTATTTATAGAGAACTTAAAGGGATACACTGTATATTTAAATTTTAAATGCAACGTTGAATAAAGTTGGATCAGTATCTATTTCCAGTTTTCATAATTTTGTCACATACAATAATAGTCAAATTTTCGATCAATAGTCTATTTACATATCTATCTAGGTGTGGGTGAATCGTGTGGGGCTTCCGGATCTGAAATGTTAAAATTACTATATTTAATATCTTTCTAAAATTTATTATTTTATAGGCGTATATTATAAATTCTTTTAGTCATAATTCTTTATGTATTTTTCCTGTCAGCTGTTTGTTATTTCTAAAGATAATGTAAATATCCATACTACTTATAAAAATACTCGAATTATCAAATATTAATATTGTTGTAACCTTTTATCAAAATCACATGGCTTTTATTCTCTGTTCTTATTTACATTGGGTAGAACAATATTCCCTCTAAGATAATAAAGATTCCTGAATGTCTAATATACTGAATTAGAAATTTTAATAAGAAGACGTTAAGTGTTAAGCTTTGTTTTCAATTAAGCATACCTGTGAAGAAATCAAGTCTCTCAATTGCTGAATCAATAACTTACTGACCGCATAAAATGTATAGAATATACTAACCTTAACACTTTGTAAGGATTATTGTACTAGTTCAAGTTCGAGTCTTCCTATAGACTGGTAATTAATTTAAATAAAATCGCTGTATAATGAACAGCTGATTAAAATACAATGAAATTCTATATCTAACACCACTGGCTTCTTGTAGGCGGTAAAAAATGGTTGTTGATATGATTCAATCGTATAATTTTAAAAAGTCTGACAAATAGATTCAAACAGTTGTTACAAATATCATTACGATTTTACCAAAAACAATACTGAATGAAAATATTGCTTAAATAAATATCTTTATTTAGGTACTATTTTAAACAGATGTCATCATTACATATACCTTCACGTCGATGCTAAATCTGAATCATCACCCTGTATATCTTTCAGATTTCAAATTAGTTTGCATCCAACAAGAATGCTAGAAATGATAAAGAAAGAAACGGCTATTGACATTTTACTAAATGTAAATATTTTTATCTTATCTTTTGTGTGAATTTGTAATTTATATTACTCTCTTAAAATTATGACATCTTTAAATATTTAAACACATATTTTTCTTAAAAATACCTAGAAGATCAGATCTAAATATAAATGTTTTAGTTGCAGAATCTGTGTAAAGAAATTACACATTTTTTAAATAAAACTTTAAATATAACAAATAATAATAATAATAGATGGCATTAGATACGCTTCAGTTCCAATAACACATTCAATAAAACTGAAAGATTATTATGATAGTAAAAGTAAAGCTTAGAAAAAAAATAAGATATTTAGAGCACAAGTACAGAATTTGTAAATTTCAAAATCAAAGCTAATAAATTGGGTTAGCAATCAGGATTTACTAAGTATCCCCGTTTTCTAAATTTATGAAACAGCAGAGAATCATCTTGTGCATAAAAAATTGATCCAATTGAGGAGGTCTGAATGGGGATCTTTAAATGTTACTCAAGCGTCTTTGCTAGGTCTATTCAAGGTTTTGCTTCCTCCACTACAAGAAATTTTGGACTAAAGATAAATTTCCCGAAATCAGCGAGCGATGCTAAACTGAAGGAATGTACATATATTCGATGGACCTCAAATTCGTAAAATTTTGCGTGATGAAATTTTTGTATTGAAAATGAATGAAACTGAGAAGGTGCTTTGGCAAAGCATAAAAAATGTAACAGAACATTTTGAAGAGCAAGGTGAAAGATTTACAGGAAACGGAAAGGGTATCAGGGTAAGTGGACAAGAATATGATGGAGGACTACTGCTGGATGTTGAAAGAAGAATGTAAGGTTAGAGGTAAAAATATAAAGAGAAACCCACCATATAGATCTTTTGAAAATAAGGAACATTTTCTCGAAAACATAACAATAACAGGGTCTGATTATTTTACATTACTTACTACATGTTTATAATAATTTGCAACATTTGAAGAATGATGCAACATACACTATCTCTCAAATTAAATATCATACGTTTATATTTATAATTTTTTGTTGAAAACGATATCAACTGTATTTAAACTAATAGCGTTAAAGGTTAAACTTATTATTATACGAGGCTTGATAAAAAAGTGACGGGAATTTTCAATTTGATTGTGTTGCACCTTGTCTATCGAGTTGATTATTTTTTTGTATATGCAGCTGTTAAAAACGGAATCAAGTGCAGTGAGGTGTTCAAAATATTAAGGAAGGTCTTTGGCCACGATATAGTTGCACTGCCACAGGTTCATCAATGGTAATAATGTTTCCAATAAGACCAAGAAGATATCGAAGATAAGGCGAGATCTGGTCAAATGTGAAGGTCCTTCTAACCGTTTTCTTCGACTACAGTGAAATAGTTCATCACGAATTTTTATTGCTTAGTCGTACAGTTAACAAGGAGTACCTACTACCTAGTTTTGAGCAATTTGCGTGGAGCAATCAGGAGAAAACGACAGGAACAGGAGAGACAACTCGTGGATTTTGCACCACGGCAACCTACCGGTGCATACTGCTGTGTTTCTCCAACAGTTCTTGGCGAAATACAACACCGTTGTGATGCCGTAACCACCTTATTCTCCGGACATGACCCCTGTAACTTATTCTTATTTCAAAGGACCACGTTGTTCAATAATAGATAAGATAAAGGCAAAATCGCAAACCGTGCTCAGGACGATACCGAAAGAGACGTTTCTCTAAACTGGCATACGTGTATAATATCACTTTGAAGGAGATGGAATAAAAATTGAAGATTAAATAAATGCTTTCTGAGAAAATTAACAATTCCCGTTACTTTTTGATCAAACCTCGTATATTTGAAAATTTATTTTTTTTACTCATATCAGTGACAATTTCAGTATCATTAATTATGCATATTACACAATTAACTTCATAATTAATAAATTCAACCATATGATTTTGTAATTAAAATGTGCTGTTATTATTTTTACATAGTTTTCCCTAAGAAATGGATAAAACTAAGTAGAACCTGTAAATTTTTTGCAAATTAACTGGTGAACAACTGTTTTCAGTTTAATTCAATATCTGATGTTTCGTCAAGACCTCAAAATCCGGTAATTTACGCTGCGAGATAGTCTGCATAGTCAAGGTTAAATTCTAAAGCATCGATGTTACTTGTGGTGCAGTTGAGCGCAAAATGGGAACCTCAACGCTGGTTTTCCTTATAACTTTAGTATTAGCGAACAGTGTGAAAAAATCTGAAAGTTCGTGTGAAAGCGTAAACTATGAAGTTAAATGTGATTCAGTTAGAGATATCACCAGTGCGGTTATAGAAAAAATACCAGGTATAAACAAAGTGACTCGGCTGTATATCAAGTTCAGTCCTCATTTGATAATATTTCCAAGAGCATTTTCAGCAGCTGTTAATCTGGAGCGTGTTATTATCAGTTACAATAAAATTGACAGGATAAGCAGTGGCACTTTCAAGGATCTCCCGGTCAAATATATAAATTTAGGACACAACGGTATAAATAATATTTTTCCGGCGGCCTTTTCTAACCTAAAATTTCTCGAAAGTTTACGCGTTGATGGGAATAATTTAAAACAAATCCCATTGGGGGTGTTCATAAATCTACCAATGCAGGACCTAGCACTGTCCAAAAATAACATACCCGCAATAGAGAATATGGCATTAGAAAACTTACCGAACTTGAAGAAACTAAGGTTAGATAATAACAAGCTGGAGTCGATATTTGTCCACAGAATTTTAACTTATCCTGAACGTCTAGAACTCCTATGGCTTCACAACAACTCTTTGACCACAGTGTCAAATTACATGTTGCAAAAATTAACAAACCTAAAAATATTGAATTTGGGATTCAATTCAATCTCCCTCATTGAACCAAATTCTTTCGAGCAGACTCCAAAGCTGAATTATCTGGTTCTCACACACAATCATCTAAAGGAGATAGATGGCAGCATATTTCCCAACACTGGCATGCAGTTTCTGGAAAAGATGTATTTGGATAACAACAAGCTGATGTTCCTGTCATCCAATTTTCTCGTTGGTTTGAGAAAGTTGAAGAAAATCACGATCGTTGGGAATCCTTGGATATGTTCTTGTTTAAATACAGTTCAAAGACTTCTCGCGGAAAACAACATACAAGATATGTGCAATGAAGAGTATAACAGTGGAAGTAGACCGGTTTGTGTGAATGAGAACGTTGACGATACTGAATGTAGATATTCCTACAATGACAATTTGAGTGAAAGATTTGAGACTTACAAAAAGGATCATCCTCTGTACAGGCGCATAATATCATGTATCTTGTAAACACAGAGATAGTCCAGGCAAGTTAGACCAAAATCACCCAGAATACGGAGATTTTTTTCTGATGAACCGATCGAGTTGCGGTTTTCGGCATTGTCTTCGGAAAAATATCAGGAAAAAAGTCTATTTATTACACTTTGGGGCTGGATCGAAACTTCATTGCGGGTGCATAAACTGCATCTTGGATCAATTTTTCCAAATTTTCTAAAAATGGTAAAAATTGACTAAAAGTTGTAGAAATTTGTGTGCACGGGTTTTCGGGGTCGGAGATTCCGAATCTGACCCTGAAAAAATGCCTGACGGCCCTGGGGCCCCCCAGGGAGGCAAGGGGGGCCTTCTGTAAAACATCGAATAGCTGAGTAATTGCCTTCTAACTTTCCACTCGGGGGTTTTTGGGGTCGGGGATTTCGATTCTGACACTGAAAAGTAGCCCGACGCCCCTAGGGCCCGCCAGGGGTGCAAGGGGGGGCCTTCTGTAAAACATAGAATAGCTGAGTAATTGCCTTCTAAATTTCTACTCGGGGGTTTTCGAGGTCGGTGATTCCGAATCTGACACTGGAAAATATCCATTAATCTTAGCTTGTCTGTCACGGAGCACAATTGTCGTAGAATTGGAGAAACCCTGGACAATCCGTTCCCAAGAGACACATTTCGTTAAATCAAAGAAATATTCCTTAAAACCGAAGAATATTTCATGGATCATGGATTTTCAAAAGAATCTCTTGGGCCCGTGCGACTGCGGATAATGCATAACAATTAGGTGACAAAATCCGATTATCGACCCCCAAGTGGAAATTTAGAAGGCAATTACTCAGCTGTTCGATGTTTTACAGAAGCTCCCCCCCCTTTCCCCCCTGGGGAGCCCCAGGGCCGTCGGGCATATTCGGAATCTCCGACTCCGAAAACCCATGCACACAAACTTATAACTTCTATAACTTTTAGTCAATTTTTACCATTTTTAGAAAATTCGGAAAAATTGATGCACTCCAAGATACAGTTTATGCACCCGCAATGCAGTTTCGATCCAGCACCAAACTGTAATAGATAGACTTTTTTCCTGATATTTTTCCGAAGACAATGCGAGAAAGAATTTTCTGATTTATTGTCTAACTTGCCTGGTCTAAGAATAAAGTTTCGTTATTAAATTTCTTACTTTTATATAAATCTGAAGTGCTTTATTTTGTTACGATGCATCCAAATTTTAAATTTAATAAGTGTCTACCTACCAAATTACAAAATGTATAATAAACCATTCTCAATAAAGTTAATGGAAACTTTTTTTTTTTACTTTAGACGGTAAGCGCAACTTCAATTCTTTCAAAATTAAACTTGAAAGCTCAATGACATTGAAAAAAATATATTTCTTTTGCAAAAAACTGCTGATTTTGCTTTTATGTATGTATTTCTCTCCTGACACTAAAAGTATTTGTTTTTTGTTGTTTTTTTTAATACGTTGTCATGTTAATATCACAGTTAACATCGGAAAAATTTTGTAACATTCGTTAAAACTTTATTTTACAATAGGTATCATTACTTATAAAGCCACTTGTAACATTTTTGGAATTTATTTTGAATTTACTCCTAGAATAAACTAAGTAGATATAAACATGAAAAATTAGAAATTAATGCTCTGGATATACAGGGTGTTCGGAAATTAAGCGTCAAGACTTCAGGAGGTGATTCCTCACAAAAATTAGGGTCACAAAGTCCTATAACAATTTTTCGAAAACTCAATATTAACGGAGATACAGTGTGTCAAAAAATATTTTTTTTAGTTTTTCTTAGATACCTTTTTTATTTGTGATTTGATTGGTGAACACACCAATAATGTTTATTATGTAGATTTATTACACCATCATGCCCGAATCCCGCTTCATCCATGAAAAGAATTGAATAGATGAAATTTCTGTTGCCATTATGGAGATTTATAATTTTCCTGCAAAAATTCAGTTGTGCAATCGGATCTCTAGCGAGTAGCGCTTGGACCTTTTGATAGTGGAATGGATGCAGAAGTTGTTCCTGCAAAATTTCATGGACTGAGCTTTTGGGAATATTTTCCTGCGATGCAATTAACCTGACGCTTATCAGCGTATCAGGATTATTATCAACCACATCCAAAACACGAACTTCAGCCCTAGAAGTTCGAGTTCGTCGTGGCCGACCGACATCAAACTACTTCGTCTTAAAAGAGCCAAACTCACCTAATCTCTGATGGACAGTACTGAACAACTGCGGTCGTGGAATTCTTCTATTTGGAAATGCATCTCGATACAAACGTTTTGCTCTTGATGCATTTCCCGTAGCTAAGCCATAATAATAATGCATGTCGCGCAACTCCTCATTCGAATATTTATTATAATTATTATTGTTATTATTATTATTCATTTTATCAGTTTAAATCACGATACTTATTACACACAAATGATCACAACAGAATAATTCACATAAATATTATCTGTCAAAAGTAGCTAAGGCAACATTTAAGTTACTGTTTTCAAAGCCTCCTTTGTAAATCTTAAAAATCAGTTTAAAGATGTTTGAAGTCGTTTTTCTCAGAAACGGTTCATTTTATTGTATCACAATAAGAGATTCTTTTTTAAATAATTTTTGATACTCTTTAACATGGTGCTGTTCAAATTTATAAAGCGGTGAAAACAAAAAGTTGTGGGCCATGGATCGAAGATTAAGGTCAGGTTAGGCTCTTTGGCACTGGAATGTTTGCATCATATTTGGAACATAAATCTACAAGGGCACTAGTAATACATAGGAAAGACTTGGAAAAAATCAAATCACAAATAAAAAAATATTTTTTACGAAAGATTTTCTATATTTATTGTTTCAGGTTAGGTGTCATTTTGATCTCTGATACTTATTTAATGGCTTCAATGCGAGCGAAGCCGCGGGTAGAAGCTAGTGATGAATAAACTGAGGATATTGACAGTGACTTTTCAACCTCAAAGTGTCCTAAAGAAGCCCTGATAATTTCAGAACACTTCGATTTTTTTCCTTAGTGCCCAAAATGTTTAAATTTTTTGCTGAAAATGAATGTAATAAGTAATTGTTCACTTTTTATTCATTTTTAAGTTTTTTAACAATAATCCATATTCTCTTCATCAAAAAACGTTCATGATTCTAAAAAAAATGGAAAAAAATTTTTTTTCATAAATTATTTTTTTCAAAATTTTTTTAAACATATCCACAAGTTTCACAAATGTCAAAATAACTGACACTAAAAAATTTTAAACTGTAGATCTGAAAACTAGACACTTGATGCTTCAATTTCCTTTCTTTTTTTATTCTCTCGTACTATTTCCCTCCAAGTTACAGCTCTTTAAAACGCACCCAAAATTTTGGTATTTTTTTTAATATCCCTTAATTCCTGGGCCTAGTGTAGTCATGACATTTTATTTATTTTCTCATAAAATTTTGCTTACTACTAAATAATACAGAAATTACAAATATAACTAAAGACCTGAGGGAAAATTTTTGCATGCCTATCCCAAAACTGCACAAATATATTTATCATGATATTTCTAGTTAGATAAAAAACTTTTAAGATCATTTCCTTGGATGATAAAGGCGCAAGGGGTTAAATTTTGCCTAGTGGATAACATGCCGCTGCTCATAGTAACAAAAACAATCTAGTCTCTTCCTGTGACATAGACGCGTATGTAAACAAATCTACATTGAAGGAAATAGGAAGTTATTCATCCAATTTCACGATAAGCTGTGTTATGTTTTATTGCAATTAAAAAGGCACACATTCTAGCACAAACACAACTGCACTTTCAAATATTTGTTATCCTTGACTGTCTTTAGTTTTAACGTCGAGATAGTATTTTATTTCACATTTGTCTTGTCACGCTCCTGCATCACCGTAAAATATGTTACCACGTGGGGAATATGATAATACCGAAACATTTGTTATATGTAGCAGATCAGTTTCCTACCACGTTCCTTTTTTCTGATCAAACTAAGCATTATACTGTTTAAATTTGGTTTAACTGAATTATGTTTTTATCGTAGGCAAAGTCATGGGCGTAGAATGTGTTAATTATTTTGAGTTCGAAATTAGTTAGGTATAAAAACTTATATAAATGTGCATAATAAAATGCAGATAGTAGTAGGACGTTTAAAATAAAATTAATATACAGGAAAGACCAGATATTAGGGTAAAAAAATTCAGGTTTCTATGAATGCGCAACTTGCTCATATTTTTTTAAACGTCTGGAAATAATCTATAACTTTTTATAATCATGAAGTGAAAATTGGAAATCTCTTAGTGGTTGTTAGTTAATTCATTAGAGGTTGTTAATTAATTCATTTCAGTTTGGCAAATGTTTAAACGGATATTTACTGACGCTCTAATTCGTGACATCATTTATTGCGATTGAGAATCGAAATGAAAGAGACAGGATGGCACGACAGTATGAGCATAGTAAGTAACAAGAATCTAAACGCGGTGTTCTTTTATTCATTATTTCGATGTATTAGATTCTGTAGAGACAATCAAAGATTCAATTTTTAAATAAACCACTTATGGCTCTCCACATATGCGTTTCTTTCGATTAGGTTTCGTCTCGTTGGCAGGGGAATTGTAGACTAGGCGGTAACGACCGAGAAACTGGTTGTGTTATCGGTCGCACTAAATGACGTAACGTTGCGTTTTTGATCACGTGGCACATTTACTTTTTAACGTAATTTTAAATACCTATAATTAATTTCTAGCATTAAAGAAATTATTTTTTTATAATTTTACCACTGTTAGTTGTTGTCGGTTATAGACTAAAAGTTTATCCATTTCTATACGAGAAATTGAGATACAATGTTCTTTTTAAGTTCGGTGCTTCGACTACAGTGATATCAAAGAAATATGGTGACTTTAAAATAACACATCGCTACGTTATACAAAAGAAATCTGTTTTACTAAAATATTTTTCCTTATAACGACGCACAATAGGTACAACTGGCAACGCTGGTAGCGCATTAATATGCAAATTCCTAAAGCACTTATGCTGCCAGTGGCGTCGTACACGAGAATTAATATGCAGTATAAAAAATTAATTATAGCTATTTGG